GTGTTTTTATGGATCGTCAAACCTAGTTAATACAATACATGAAAAGTCTGAGCAGATTACTATTGTTACAATGGTATACAAGTGATTTATATGAAAACTATAGTCAAACAAATGGCGGAATCTGTCACTGTATTGATAATTACTGTTTAAAATACAGCGCAACTTCTATTTCTATCTTTTCTGTCGTCTGATCATCATTCTTGTTGATTTATATGAATAGTGGAAACCACGCCAGGTTAACCAATTCACCCCATCAGCAAAAGATTGATGTTCTCCTGCCAAATATCTACCATTGAGGTTGCTGTGAGTACACCGTAGATGCCACCACGCGCCATGGAAAAATACAGCACAGTTGCCATAACCAGAAGGCGGGTTGTTATTCTGGTCATAAGTTGTGAATGGCATATTATTGGAATAAGTCAGACTATCTCCTATCAAAACAGTGGTACATTTTATCAGTAAAATCGCAACGTAATGGTTTTAAAATGAATGTTCTTTGAATAAAGTATCATTCTTTATGAAAGAAAAACATTCTTCTGGGTAACTGTAACTTGCCAATAACTTGCAAAGAGACCTATAAATTGTACGTTCATTATCGAAAATATTTATTTCTACAAGCATACAACGGAAAAATAGTGAAACACTAGAGTCTCCGAGCTTTTCTCTTGTTTCGTAGTAAGTACAAATAAATTTTATATGTTCCGACTGTTTCTTATCGTTGTTTGTTTTTAAAGAAATCGACATTGCTAAAATGCAAAAAGGGCTTCGGACGCATAAAATTTATAAAGTTTTGATTTCATTTGTTGTCTGAACGCAAGGTAAATTTACTTTATATATATATATGACTTGATTCCTTACTTGTAAGCGCATACAAACCAAATTGTCTAATAATAGTATATATTTCCGTTCAGTCGTCGATAACTTACAAAGTATAAAAAGGGTGCTAAAATGTAGTTTTACCCGTATATATACAAGTTGTGGTTTGCAATAATAAAACTACGTATAAAATTTAAAACAACTAGTATTTATGATATCTTGTATGTCTTATTTTTATATATTTACGGTTTGTAACATTGAATAGAACTAATATCCCTATTTTGAAGATGTCGGTTTTCATGGGCAACTGTACGATCTGTAATGTTTGGCTCTGGTCATGATTAAAAGCTTGACTGTAGAAATCTCTGACTTACAGTCTATTTCTTGTACTTTTAACATTATGGAGCTATTTAAATAGATGGATTTTTTTTTAAGTTAAAGTCACGGGACGGTTCAGACAAGACATATTGTATATAGTTTACATCTGTCTTTTGTTGAAGACTGTTTGTTGTCCGATAGATGTCTTTTGCGTTTTGTTTTTCGTTTTGTCGTTAGATTGCTCACAAAGACGTATACCTCACATCTCTATTCATATTCAATATTTGTTTTCTGAAAATCGTTTAATAATGAACTGATATATCTAGATAAGAATATTTATTTTTGCTGACATTTTACAAAGTTAAGAATTGTTGTTCATCCTTGACCTTTGTCCTTTGGCAAATGTAAAACAATTCAAACGAGAAAACTAACGGTCTCATTCATGTACAAAATAGAGAAGCATCTATGTATTATTGGTAAATTATTAAGTCAGGGATTTCATTACCACATAACTTTGTAAAAATATCAGCAAAATTTAACATTCTGAATAAAAGCAAACATAGTTATTTTATGTCAATAAAAATTACCTGCGTCGCCACTGTAACTGTTGAGAGATATTTTGTATTTAGAAGCAGAATCTCCAATGGTAAATGATTGGTATTGTGCATAACGTGTTTCGTTATCAAAATCCTGCAGAACAACCCTAAGTGTATACGTATTTAAAGATGTAAGCTTATGTACTTTGTTATTACCTAATAAAACAAAAAAGAAATCATCAGAGAACAACCACTAGGTCTTTTTTACTGTTAAGTTGTTTATCCTCTTGACCTTCGACCAAGTTATTCAATATGAAAAGATTTTTATGCATTGTCAAATTAAATCTGCTTAACTTTCCTTGTCAACCAATTCATCTCTTGTTTTTTTTTTTTCGTGTTGTGCTTGCTTTAGTTTTCTGTTTTGCATTTTGTTACATTTTCTAACGTCTGTGTTGCTTGTAACGATAACGTTATTAATTATTCTTTGCCATGAAAAACTTACCCAATTTCAGACGTTACATTCGGTCATGATAGAAAACTTACATATATAAATGGCAATGTCATAGAGTAAGACATGCCATTTGTAGCAACCCATTATTGTATATGCTCTTTCATCGCAGATGACTCCTCATCTGAGTAGCAACTGTAACAACTGGAGGCGCTATAGCCGAGTTAACTCCCAATTTTGATGCAGTTCATGATGAGCAATGTTAAGTATGCTCTTTGATGTTTTCTAGACTATTGTTTGTCTTTCGTCCTTTTTCTTTTTTTTCTTTTTTTTTTCTTTTTTTTTTTTCTTTTTGGTTTTCCTTTTTTTGTGTTTGTGTTTGTTTTTGTTTTTATTTTAGACTTAAGATTCTGACGCCCCTACTGTCCCTTCTGCATTTTTAAAAAGTGGTTATTATTAACTAATTTAGTGTATCGTTCGAAGTATACGTAATTATCCGTTATAATTTAGATCAGTGTGTTCATGACGTCTTATAAGTGTGCCAATTTTTTTCATATTATCATTACCTAGCCAGAATTCTTTATTCACATCACCAAAACCCTTTTCGTATTCCTCCCAGTTCTTATAAAAGTCGAGGGTACCATCAATTCTGTGCTGGAACACCTACAACATATATATATTGCATATACATACTTTTGGGAGATATTTATATTCTAACTGTAGATGGAAATCTCGATTCCGAGTTGCAAAGCATAGTGCAGTATATAAACATACTGGGCGTTCACATGTTAGTAATAATTTTGACCGTTATGATACAACCATTTTGGATCAGATTTGTTTGAAAGATTAATCAAGGTGCCATTGGTGGAGCAGGATTTGCTTACCCTTCTGGAGCTCATGAGATCATCCCCGGTTTTTGGTGGGGTTCTTATTGCTCAGTCGTTGTTTTTGTATGTTGTGTTTTGTGTAATGTTGTTTGTCTTTTGGTCTTTTTTTGTTTTTTGCCATGGCTTTGTCAGATTTATGAGTCTGAATGTCGCTTTTGTATCTTTTGTCTCTATTTCAATCAAGGTTATTTATATAGAATTGAAAAAACCTTAGTTTTAAGTTAAAAATTATATCCATAAGTCATTTGATAAATCACAAATTGACTACAATTACATGCTTATACTTCAGAATTATACATATCCGTACTGGTTTGCTGCAATTCAGAGTTACATTCTGAAGAAAATAACGAGATATTTGTAATCCCCTCAATATCCAGCTCTAGTTTCATACTTAATTATTTTTAATTTTACTGACATCATCACAAGTTGCTTGACCATTATTGAATATCTGTTTCACAGATGACGACCTTTATGTTCCAATAGTCGTAACAAAAATATCGTTCTCTTTTCTTCGAATGTGACCTACATAATAAGATTTCAATTTACTTGAGCAACATGTCGGGTGCCACATATGGAGCAGAATCAGATTACCCTCCAGGAACACCTTACAATAACCCCGATTTTGGTCGGGTTATTTGTATCAAACTCAGACATCATAACCACCAGTACCAACAAATGGCATAAAACCATTATATTAGGTAAAGCCGTATTAGATCTTAAAGGAAAACATTTTGAAAATATGGGATAAACAGATAGTATTCAAAAATACATTTACATGTATCTCTGAGAAGTGCATGGTGATGCATTCAATCTAATATAAATATAGCCAAATTATAAATCCAAATTAAAAAGGCTAACCGATATAAGTTAACTATTGTAATTGTTGTTGAAATGTTGTATAACAGTACTACCGTCAAGTATTCAATTCACACTTCTACCATACACTGCCATCAATATGTGTAATAGACGGACGGATACGGTAGCTATAGAATAAAGTCGACAGGTGTAAAAAGTGCTCACCGTCCACCCTCCTCCATCCGTTTCCATGTCACAATAGACCTTATAACCGCAGCTTTCTCCGTCATCACTTAGGGTGTATACACCACTGGAGCCTTTAAGGTCACCGCAATCTTTTGGGTAAGCATCTGAAAGATGTAATTTAAACAAATGTCAATATCTTCAGAGGCATAAGTTTTAGTTACCAAATGTCAAACGTTTGGTTATGTGTAGATACACGATAGGAGGGACTAAATTGCACGAGAAAGCTCTGCTTTCGAGTGCAATTTAGACCCTCCTATCGTGTATCACACATAACCAATCGTGTGCCATTTGGTAAATCACATGTGCCAAACGTTCATTCGACGTCATCGCTAGCCGTCACGTTGTTTTCCCGCGGTAGAATTTCAGTTTGCGGTTTGATGTGTAAGGAGCAAAATGGATAATGCCAAAGTGAATTTACTAGAAACGGATTTTTTATATGCCCACTGGGATCAAAGTGTTGACGACATTACTTTATCCCAAATATGTACTGATATGGAAAATGAACACACAGTTTTTGAAAAAATGGACGATTTAACCCTTTCACAGGCGTAAGATAAGTACGAAGTTGACATGGATGTGAACCACGAGGTAGACATTTCTCAATTAGATTTTCAGTTAACACAGGTTCCAATAACAGCCGACAATGTAATTGAACAGTTGGAGAAAATCATCATGCCGGAAACTAATGTCGCGGTAAAAGCAGAGGGTCATGTAAATAATGGACGGTATGGTAACTTCGTTAACGATATGGACATTGACATTTTAGTTAAATCCACCGAGAGTAAAAACACCAGAAAGAATACAAATTGGAGTATATCTACGTTCAATGATTGGAGAAGTGCGCGCATAGCAAGCACGAGTTGTGCCATTCCGGAGCTCACAAGATTTACAGTTGGTGACATTAATCAATGGATGAGCCGTTTTGTGATTGAAACGAGGCGGCAAGACGAAAACCGTACCCACCGAAAACATTGTACATGTTGTGTGTAGGAATATTGCGGCACCTACGTGAAAATGAAATTCATATCAATTTCTTGGACGAAAAGGACTCGCAATTTTATGAGTTTAGGCGTTCGCTTAGTGCTAGAATGACACAGCTAACGGCAGAGGGAATAGGGACAACTCCAAAACAAGCAGAACCTATTAACCAAGAGAGTGAAGATATTCTTTGGGAGAAGAATTTACTAGGAAACAAAAGTTCGAAATCTGTGCTTAACACTATGTTTTTTTACAACAGCAAACTGTTTGGTTTAAGGGGTGTAGACGAACACAGGAACTTGTCAACAGATCAGTTTAAAATTGGAAAAGATCAAAATGGACATTACATTGCCTTTTCTGGAAGAGCTAGCAAAACCTACAAAGGTATGTATTATTAAAAATTAAAAGTTAACAATTAGGTTGAACTGTAATAAGAAGGTCAAGGTGGAATCGTTAATTTTCGGAAAATCAAAGTGTCTTCTTCGAGGTCCGCGTTGATATTGTTATTCAATGTTTAATCTTTATGTTTATCTAATGACGTAAATTTATACATTGTCAAAATTCAAATATTCGGCTTTCACTCTTGAGCATTCCTGAAGAAGGAAAATCCAGAAAAGCGATTTGGACGCATGAAATTTATAAAGTGTTTCATTTTTTGGTAGCAATCATGAATGATTTGGGATTCGAAACCTATAAAATATCTTATCGTATTATCTATCTTATTATAAGTCATGGCATGCATGAGGGTGTTGAAGGGAGTTTGCAGAAAAGAGAATATAAACGGGAAAAACGTATAAAGACTAGAGAATAATGAGGTGCTAAAGTTTAAAAAATAGAGAAAAAATGGCATGAAAATTGAAGAATACTGAAATGAAGGACCCCATCAAGATACTTATGCAAGTTTTCCCGAATGATTATGTATACAAACTTCACTAATAATTTTGATATCATGATTAAAATGTTTATAAAGTTTTTTTAAGAAGTTAAGACACATGAACTAGATATATAATACACACATAAACATTTAATTCCGTTTCTAGTAATTTTGTATTAAATATCTTTTATCCTCGGTGTTTCAGGAGGACTTCATCAGAGACACCTGACTGCAAAAAACATAAAGCACCATTTCCAAAATCTTAATTTATTTAAGATTTATGAAGATTACCTAAGTATTATTTCTGAAATGAACGGGAACTCGTTTTATAGACGACCTTTAGAGAAAGGTTGTGAAATCAAATTCAGTTCACAGCCATTAGGTGTAAATAAATTGTCATCAATAATGAAAAGCATGTGTTTTGAGGCAGGAATCGAAGGTTACTTTACAAACCATTCCGGAAAAAGGACGTGTGCAACATCTCTCTATCAAGCTGGCGTTCCGGAGCAAGAGATAATGAATAGAACCGGACACAGATCTGTTGAAAGCGTTCGAAAATATAAACGAGCTTCAACGGAAATGCTAATGGATATTTCAAACATTCTTGAGCCAGGAGGCCCGCCAAAGAAATGTAAATTGGAATCACAAGACAAAGAAGAAAGCATGGACATGGGCAAATCTGGTCTAGATAGTATTAATTCCGGTAATGCTGATGGCAAATGTGTGTTTTCGCAGTGCGTGTTCAATTTTACGGGAGGAAATTAGATGTTTTCACAAAATCATATTTTAAGTGATATATATTCATTACGGAGTTAATGTGATATATTTGATTTTCCTTAGTTCTGATTGATGTAGATACGAGTTACAATGAAGTGTTTTGGGAAATACTACACTGTTAATACTAATATACCGTTGTACAGTTGTATATTGAAAGTTGATATGTGGGAATATAAATTTTGAGTTATTAAAAGTTATTAATTAAAATAAAATTTTATGTTTTACTGATGCAGTATGGCTTGAAATCAAATTTGTATTAAGAATGACATTTTAATCAGTTAAACAGATACAATCAATAGTTAAAAATACTTTCCAAGGAAGTGTCATTTTGTCAACACCTGCTTGTTTGTTTTATGGGATGAAGGAATAACAAACTAACAAGTGTTTGAATTAAAAATTGTCATTTATTATTATAGTTATGTATACATCATGTAGTACTGACTGGATATAATTTTTAACTTAAAACTCGTTTCAATGGGTCATGACTCAATGAATAAGTACTGATGCACATGGATGGTACATTGTAATTTATCAATTACATTTTGATATGATCGTTGACACTTTCTGTTGTAGGCACCCAAGAAAAATGAAATTATGATCAGTTTTGTAATTCATGTGCAACCATTTGCTTTGTAACTACCCTTATGACTTTTGAAAGTTTGTATTTATAATTGATAAACACCTATTGCATTGAATATAAATGATTGCAAGATCAAACCAGATCAAACAACAGTAAAGAAAACATGTTTACATAAGCGTGATAAGTAGAGCTCTCTAATCATTAAAAAAGCTGAGCTGATTCCTTTTCCTTGTCACATCTGAGACATTTAAAATTAAATCAAATGAGTGAAATAAACACTTAATACATTTTTTGCATCTGAAGCACTTTTCTGGTTTTAACTTTCATCAGGAACGCTCAAACTGAACATTTAAAAGCTATGAATGTGTTAATACGCTGCAACGTGTGGAGCTATATTACCAAAAAAGACCCAAACAGAATAGCCAATATATCATTTGTCATGGTCAATTTTACCTGCAGGAGTTGGAAACTTAATTCCTTACTATTTTCTTAATTTATGAACATCTGATAAAAACTGACAGTTCCGATCTGGAATTATGGAACGGTTTCTAAATTTTGTAGACATATGTGTTCCATAAAAAAAATATTAGTATAAGAGTAAATTTTCGAGTTAAAGGTAATTCCTGCATAAGTGTATGGCACAAGTTTTCCACAGTGACGCTTTACATGAAATCATTTTGGTGTACAGTAATTATAAAGACAAACAACAATAAAAATTGATTGATTGGTTGTTGGTGTTAAAACTACATTTTCAGAACTATTGGCAGTATCGTGGCGATCAGTTTATTTATTGGTGGAGGAAACCGGAGTGCACGGAGAAAACCACCGATCTTCGGCAGGAAAACTGTCAATCCTAGTCAAATAAGATTGGAGTCGAAAGCACCATCTGCCACGTGCGAGTTTTGAACTCACAACAGCATTTTTGACAGGTGAGTGATAAAATAGTTAAACTACTTAGACCACTCGGACTTTCAATAAAATTGAAGAAATAGAGCTAATATTTAATGTTTTTATTTTCCTCTTTGTCATGTTCAACATGTCGCATCTAATTTAATAAGTATCTTTGCGTCCAAGATGTTCGACAGGACTCATTCACAAACATACATAGATGCATACATTTAAATTTTAGAGTTTGATATAAATATTTTATAGACACGTGACTACTGTTATTGTCGTTGGGTTTATGTCTCATTGACATTTACCCCATTATTTCTTTTATTTTATAGATTTATACATACCAAAATTATCTCTGAACAGGGTATCCCAGCCTATGGCAGTCTCGTTTGGAGGACAACATGTTTTTGATGTATCTATTAAACAATTCTTTATATATTTGTTATAACTTAAAGCACAACAATCTCTGTTGGCGAAACATGTATAGGAACACTGTAATTCGGTTACCTCTGTAAACTTTATAACATATAAATTGTCGCCGAGTATCATGCCGGAATACTTTGAAAAGGTGTCAGCACATAATACACTAAAATCAAAATATACAACCATAACACAGACTGTTGTGAAAGATAAACTGAAAATTGTAGTCTTACGATACATTTCTGTTCAGAAAATGATAATGTTTACTTAAAAACATGTGCCGAACAAAGAATATTAGAAACAAAACCAGAGCAATATATTTGGTTTTTTTTTTTCGTTCCGCAGTAATATGATGATCATATCTAGACATGCGCGGTTCTTTTAATTAGTACTGGTGCTTAATCAAAGAACTTATTTAACTATTTTTGACGAATAATTATAGATAGAATTCAGCCGTCTAATTACTTTTCTAAACCAATTATTTTCATAGAACTGAAACAGTCTGTGCATCTAAGGTCATTTTGCCTCAGGGAGTTGAAACCTAGTTTCTTAATAATTTATTTATCAATAAACGGACAATTTAGAAAAGGTATATTATATATCTTGACAGTACCAAAACACTGTCTATTGAGCTGATGATACCCCCGGCGACTAATAGACATCCGGCAATGGTATCTACCGTGTGCTATAAAAATAAAAAGAAAAATTATAAATGTTATGCGTCCAAAGCGCTCTTCTAGAATTACCTTCATCAGGAACGCTCCAAGCATACTATTCGTCCTGACATTACCGACGTTATAGGAATGGACATGACCCCTTAAGCCGAAAGTGTCGGTCAAAGAAAGCTGCTCTCGTGTGTAGCCCATCACTTTAAAGGATATATCTCGTGACTTTGTTATTATTTCCATACAGAAAATGTCATAAGCATTGTAAACGACAGTTTAGCACAAACACACGAAACGTATTAAAACCATGATTAATCAGTGATAACTATTCAATTATCCGATGGGCGTTCACAGGAAAATCATTTAAAAAAAAAAGGACAATGTCCTGGCAGGCAACCGATTAGTCGAGTATCATTTTGATATTCCATACCAACTATAGTTATAGTTATAAAGACCATTGACTTATTAACCCCTACATCAACAGGCTTCATTCCCCTCCCTTTATCACATACAATGTATGTTTCTTCATTAATAAATATTTAATTTTACAAATTATCTTATTAGACGTCCTGGTCTGAAAACGTAATTAGGAAAATTCATCATTTAATTATCTCGTTCTTGTTGAACAGAAATAATTGTTATTTGGTGCAATAAACAAAACAAATAATGAAAAGATAAACAAAACAAAAGAAACTGCATGGCAGCGTTGAACTCTCTATCGCCACTTGTAAAAAGGTAAGGAGATGTGGTATGATTAACAATTAGAAATCTATCTACCAGAGCCCGACGGACAATGATGTAAACAACTATAATAGGTCACCGTACGGCCTTCAATTATGAGCAAACCCTATACCGTATAGTAAAGCTATAAAAGGCCACGGCATGACAAAATCGAAACAATTCAAGAGAGAAAACCAACGGACTGATTTATGTTTAAAAAACAAAACAAAAACAAAAATGGACAGACAGCAACCAACGACAACGAGGGTACCACTGAATTACGTGCTCCTGACAAGGGACAGGCAGAATGAATGTGGTGGGGTTTAACATGTCTGTGAAAGGGATTGACTCCTCATATCGACACGAAGCACAAAAACATTAAACAAACCGACAAAAGACAAGAGAACTCGTAGTTACTGAAAGCTAGTTCAACGTTAATTGAAACTAATCAATAAACCAATTTTCCTAGACCTAAATATGTCTAATATTTATCGAGGAAAACTGGGACGGTGAATAGAGAGGCAGTTATTGGCTGCGGAGAAAGAAGTAGAAAACAATTGGTAAAGACGAAATGAGAATAGAGTGAACAGGGACATTAAACAGGGACAGAGAAAAAAGAAGAAGAGCAACCCCGATTTAGCCCCACCTTACCAAATTAATGTAATGAACTTGCTTCACACCTTTTTAATTCCGTTCATATAATTTTAAAGAAATTGTAGATTGCTTCAGAATCTTTACATTGCTCCTCATACAGTTTTTTTTAATTGCAGGTATGCCTTTTAAAGAATTGCCTTTGCTTTACATGCTCAAATTGGATCTAAATAAAAAAAAATCATAGGTATCTGATCTATTTGATCACTTCCCATACATGATAGTGGTCTGTACCTGTGTATTGATGCTTGAAAAGAGAAGCAAAAAGGCAAATAGCAAACGCAGATACTGCAAAGGAGAAGTGTGCCCCATCCCCCACCCCAATTAATTGAAGTCCATTTTTGTAACATACAATAACTAAATATGTAGAACAAACATTGAAATTTTAATGTTGTAAATATGAATAAAATATGTATTTAAAAGTTGTAAATATGAAAATTAAATATGTACTTGGTAAAACTCCAATCCATAGTGTTAAACAGAAAAGAATCAGAAAATACCAACTTAATTGAAGGATACAATCAAAAATCATAAGTCGATGAACAACTGTCCGTACCATTGAAAAGAAAGAAAAAAAAATCGATTAAAAGACAACGACTGCAAAACACTTCATAGAAAACAATAAAGAGATTTATAATGTGATCACAATGCGACCTTCAACAATGACAACAATAGCAATACTAAGAGTCAAGCGCAGATCTAGTAAGAGATAACAATACAGGATTACTTATCATCAACATCATTAACATCAAATACTTTATTATAATAAGATATATCATTTAAATATTCAAGGTCTACCTTTCACAACACGATGGGTGCCACATGTGGAGCAGGATCTAATTACCCTTCAGAAGCAACTGAGATCACCCTCAGGTTTTTGATGGGGTTCGTGTTGCTCAGTCCTTAGTTTTATATTTTGTGTTTTGTGTCCTGCCGTTTGTCTTTTCGTCGTTCAACTTATGTTTTTTGCCATGGCATTGTCAATTTGTTCTCAACTTATGAGTGTGAATATCACTTTGGTATCTTTAGCCTAACTTTTTCAATTTAAAATCTTTGGGATTTGTCAGTTGCGCTCTGTATTCAAAGAAACAAAGAGACTAATTTTGAAGAAGAACTCTAAAGCTTCCCCTTTCTTTTTTCTCTTTATTTTTCTATTTCTTTATGGTTTTTTTTTATCATCTTTATATTGAACTTTTCAAGCAAAACTATTAAAATATAGTATATTAATGTGTGTA